CAAGGATTTTTAAATTTTTCACACGTGTTTAATTATTGTTCGAGACTATACAGTGTAAATTTTAGACACTTGTGGTTATTAGTATTTAGTAAGAGATATTTCTATTTGATGGGGTTTTTAAGATAAAGAATTATTATAGAATCGTGGACTTATTCAAACATCAATATAATGTAAAAATTGATCTTTTCGACGAGCACCAAAATGGTGACTTTCTAACACTTCTTTGCAGTTTTCCATTTGGAGCTGTCTCAAAAATAACAAATTATTATACAATTTTGGATCAAGGATTTAAAAATGTATTCTTCGCGATTAGTCAACTTCTGAGAAGATACAGTGTAATTATTAAGTAGTTATTCAGACGTTAATATAATGAAAATATATTGTAAAAATTGATCTTTTCGACGAGTACCAAAAATGGCGACTTTCTAACGGCCGTTCGCGGTGGTCTAATCTGGTCGACCGATCGTTGGCGATAAATCGTAGGCGAATTTAATTATTTCGCAAGCCGTTGAACGTAGTTTATTCGAGCAGTCGCGGTGTTTAATGGAACGGGATCGAACGAGTGCCAGGTAATATTTGCACGTGCACGATCGGCATTAGTCTTCCCGATATCATCGTATTGGCCGGGGATCATTCGCGAGGCAACGGAACGAGCCCGAAACTGTTGACGTCAGTGTTTCCACAAGTATAGCCGACGCTCGATGATCTCATAGTTCGCATATACCTTTCCTACTACATATGTGCCTATACTCCGTTCGCACAGAGCCTTTTTCGCGTGTGCCAATGCACGTTAGCGTGCGTATTGTGGAATCGCGGACCACTCGCCGCAACACGTGCGCGTTCGTCAGCTTCTTAGAAAGCCGCAAATAGGTGTTCGTTGCATGCATAATTTCTCGCGTACAAGTCCTTCTTTCGCGTTCTGACGAATTATCGCGCGTTACGTTAAGAAAGTTAATTTTCCTCCATCTTCTTCTCCATCTTCTTTCAGGCTCAACGTCTCATCAACGTCGCCGCCATTTGCAACGAAATATCGCGTATACTTATACTTTATAAGTTAGTTAGTTCGATAGAAATTTTATTATTTCGTTCAGTGGTCCAAAAATTTAAAGAAATGCCCATCTTTTTCCAATAAACTATCTAGGCATATCTAAGATTATAGCCATAAAATGGCTATGTTTTCTATATATATTTCTATGTAAGTGGATCATGACAATCACGAGCTGGACGCTTAAGGGATTATTTACGCGTTAGGTGTCGCTGTGCTCACTGGTGATCGACATTACTAGAACTACTGAAGTGGTCAAAACAACCATTTGTAATTTCTAATAAAAATTATAAAATATTTACTCGACTAGATTTTTATAATCATTTCTTCAAATATCTATCGTTTTAATTTCTTTGGTACAAATAGCAGTTCTAGTACTCGATTGTACATATTATTATTGAAACCCGTTATATTGACGATTAAAATGTAATTTTTCTTTCGATACTATTACATCAATCAAATTCAATATAAATTGCTAACAAATAATATTTATAAATTCAGACGAACTTCATAAATCTAGCGACATTAGAAACACTACGAAAAATGGAAATACCCCATTGAACTATTAAATATTTCCTATAATTTGAAAAAATATCGAGGATATCCTTAAAGAAATCTCCGACCGTATCTTTCACATTGCTTACACCTTTTCCTAGTTTACGACGCGTTTACAACACTTTACACTCCATCGATACCGACCATTCCTCACAAAAGTGCATCGAAAATTGATTCGAAAACCAGTTCCAGCCCTCGTATCGGAACTGTTGCCTCTCAGCCAAAACGGTTTATCATAAAGTAAAGATATTTTATCGGCCAGCTCGATCGCTATACCGCCATACCAACGACTTTATCCGCGCCTATGTCAGCGAATTAAGTTTCCCCCCTTTCTATCCTTTCTCTTTCCCGTCTGTCGTTTTCGTACCGAATCGAAAATATATCTCACACTGGATGGGCCCCGGCGCTCGAAACAACCGTACATTTCCAAAGGGGAAAAGTTCGCGACTCGGAATAGAAAATAAATTGTACGTATCGTCGATCGAGGCCGTACGGACAGTCTTAAGAGTTTCTAAACAGTACGTTCGCGTGTAACGATACGCGTGTGTTTCTCGACACGCCGAGACGAAACGATTTCAGTAAACAAGCTTGATACACACGTACATACGTGCGAAGTGGCACGAATGGTTTTTTCCTAGAGCCGGCTACGTGCGTGGGCGGCATCGACTTTGCTTCCCTATCGCACGTAAAATCCAAGATAAACATTATTTTCCTTCTTCTTTTTTTTTTCTCTTCTCCTCGTTTTTCGCTTTTGAGCGCGTGTAAGTTGTATCGCGAGCAGCGAACGAAGACGTTGGTGGAGCAATAACGCGAACAACGGATCCGATAGAAAAATTAAAACACCGCCGATACCCTCGAACGCGGATGTTGCCCGGTCGCGGATCGGCGTGTAAATTTCCAGGTAAAATACGACGATCGTTGTTGCGTGAAATGTCTTGGAAATCGCGTGTAACCGTTCGCCCCGTTGTTTCCTATCGCGTATAATTTAGATTGCGCGTCACTCTTCGTTTATTTAACCGTACCAGCACGCGCATTACTTGCGTTACAATACAACGTTTGCGTCACGGCTTTCGGTGGTTCGCTGGAAATGCTCATTCTTCGAAACAACGATATATCAAACGGCAAACGAGCGCCAGCGAGCAAATAAAAGCGCGAAAACGCAAACCCGTCAGTCATTTAACCTAGGAAAGACCGATGCCCTGTTAAACCAGCTACAAATAAAAAGAAACACAATGGGAAAAGTTTTGAATTTTGACAGAGATCGGGAGAGTCGTTTTTCCAAAATATCTCGCCAGCTATTGACTTTACGGGGAAAAAGTTAAGATCAAAGTGGAAGGGCGCGAGATTCTTTAGGAGAAAGGTCCCATTCGTATTTTGAACAATTCTAATATTTTACGAGCAAATCGACAGTGAACGTTGCATGGATTGCTTCGATATATGAATAGTGGTGTAAATCAATTTTATTTTTTTTTAAGATGTTAAAGAATTAAAGTTTTTTACTTACACCACTTTAAAAATAAATGTTTGGGTCATTCTATCAATAGACAATATTTCAATTGATAAAAACGAGGATTACAATTCCTTCCTTTCGGGTCGAACAGTAAAAATGCTAAATCAGTTGTAATAAATAAAATAGAGGGAAATTACGGACCAATCAAGTGGCGAACTTTCAAAAGAGATGGTTCGACAGTAAAAGGACTACAAGAAACAGGATTGTATGAATAGATTATCGTAAAAAATCCATGAAATAAATGGAAACGTTTGGACCGAGAATGACGTTATAAAAGCTCTGCAATTGCCCAATGAAGAATGCATTGAGTGGGTGAGTCGAAGTTTGAAGTTTCATTCATTAGGAAACTTTTGGACCGATGCATTTTACATTTGATAAAACGCGAAAGAAGATCAGTGATTGTATACGAGTATTTTACGGGACCGCCGTGTACAAGATTCGTTGGAAAATAGATGGAGCGTTAAACAAAGGAAGAATTCGCTTCCATTTGCATTCGATTTAAAATAATTTCATCTTCCTACGGCACAACGTTACTGGGGTGACAAAATCGGTTGAAAATTATGAATTGGCCAGCTTGATCTCGGAATCTCGATCCAATGGGAACTATCATGGCACAAATTCGATCGAACATCGCAGTAAAGATCATTTTCCAGCTTGTGTAACAGCTTCAAGACAGAATGGAGTAAAATAAGTTAAGATATAATAAGAGCAATGGGTTCTGTTACTAGTAGACTGCGGATCTTTATGTAAATTCATATTTTTATTGATAGAATTAATGAAATGGGATCTTTGTAAAGGGTTGTCTAAAGGGAAGCCTCAATCAACAAATTAGTATCCTTGATTTTGGCCTGTGGAATCTCCCATTAAAATTTTTTTTATCTGTCGTTAGGTTTCTCACTACTGACAAAATAGACTATGTAAAAACTAAAACTCTAAACGTCGAAGTTCCCGCCAAGAAAATTCTCGGATCGGGCTCCTCCTCCTCCGAGATTTGGGTTACTCGCTCGCTACGGCCAGTGCCCCGTCGTCTTATTAATTGCAAATAAGTTGGGTGCAAAGGGTGCCCAAAAACGAGAGAGAGTGAGAGAGAATCGAAAAAAGAACTTGTCCCTAGCAGAAAGTTTTCCCTAAACCGGAGGACACGTTTCGCTCGTTAAGGGTCCGGACGGATAAGTAACGGCGGCGCCGGGCGTCGGCGGAGTGGTCGGTCGAGAGCACCGGGGGTACGATGGAGCGGGTCTGGAATTAAATAAAAATAAAACGCGAGATAATAACGTTAGCGAAGGAACCGAGAGCCCAAGACAAATAGCCGAGGGAAAACAAAGCGTATTATAAATACCGGGTGACAGGACGAGTCGGTGCCGGGAGAGCGAGCCTCGGGAGAGAGCAAGAGGGTGGTTTTCAACGGACGAGCCAGAAGGAGGGAGGGTGGGTCGGACGGTTGGCGACGACGACGACGACGACGACGACGACGACGACGACGACGACGACGACGCGGTGGCCGTGTCGACTCCTGAGAGAAAATGCTCCGAGGAAGCGATGCCCCCAGCATTTTTGCTACCTGCGGACACAATGAGTGGCCGGATTTCTTTTTCCGCGGTCGTTACTCACCCTCCGCCGAGGGATAGTATTCTTATCCAGCCGGAATTACAAATTTCAGACACCGAGCCCTTGTGTCGGACAGGATTCTGACTGCGCGTTATACACCCCCCTCTCTCTCTCTCTCTCTCTCTTGGAGCAAAGTGGCTTTGCTTCGCGCGGTCCTTTGCAATTGTCCGTTCCCACCCTCTGCTTTTTTCCTCCTCTTCATTTATTTTTTCTTTTTTTTTCGTCCACGGACCGGAGAACCCGGGACTGAACCGTACATAGATACGTGGCTGGACTACTCACACTGGGACGAGCGTGGCCGCGCGGATTCAGCTGCCAAGGAACCGCGGATGGTTGAAACTGCTCCTTTCCCCACGAACCGTTGTCGAACGGATTCTCACCGATGTGTCCCTGAAACCACAACACACCGTTAGTATCGCTGTGAAATCAAACGTGCCCGATAAATTGGCTATCAGCGCGAAAGAACCATTAATTTCCCCCGAACGATCCCCTTCGACGTATTGCTTCGCTGTTTGTTTCTTCTATTTATCAAATGCATAGATTCTCCTTCGTGTTTGCCAGTGCATAATATTTTCAGTACGAGGAGAATATTTCAGAGGTGTTACAGACACTCTGATTACTGTCTTAACACTAGAACTATCAAAGCAGTCAAAATGACCCATTCGTAATTTCTAATAAAACTTGTAGAAAATTTATTCCACTGAAATTTTGCAAATTTATAAGAGAACGAATAAACATTAATTTTCATTGCATTGTACATTTCTTCACGCATCTAACGTTTGAATTTCTTTACTACAAATAAATGCACTATAATTGTCACCAGTTCTAGTGTCAACCAAAAATCAAGCTCACGTATTATAACTCGAAAATTCGTGTTTTCTACCAGATAAATATCTCATTTCTAGATATTTGGTCGTTATTAAATTTAGAATGTGTCACAATATTTACCTTTTTATTCACAAGAATCAAACTTCTTTCCGTGAAACAATATTTAAAATCATGGAAGAATTCGCCAAGAATTATACTAATAGAAACACACGATTGGTACAGCGATCAACATAGAAACTTAACACTAAAACTATCGACAATTATGGTGTATTTGTATGTACCAAATGTACAATACAATATAAATAAATATTTATCCATTCTTTTATAAAAAAAGTACGGGTTTTCAAAAGTCCGCTCGAGTAAATTTTGTACAATTTTTATTAGAAATTACGAGTCGCAAGTTCTAGTGCTAAGAACGAAAAAACAGTAATTCTAGCGTTAAGAATGAATGAGTTGACCTAAGTGGACCGCGTCCGTGGCACTCGATTCCTTTAAAAATTAAAGCGCAGCGACTCGTTAAGATCGCCGAAGGAAACTTTTGCCCGCGAGAAAATATTTATTCCCCCTCCGGTGTTTTCGCCGGGCAAGTAAGCGAAGCCAGTTGCAAAGAAAAGAGTCATCGATCTTTGGAACTCCGCGGTGCAAAACTTTTTTCGATGCTCCTCCGCGCAGGGGCTTATTTTTCTAATATATTCCACGGGCCACCGTTAGCCACCCCCTCCGCTCTTCCTCGACTTGGCACCCCGTAAGCCTTATTTTTCTTTTACCTTTATTCCTAACCTAGAATCTTCCGACGGCAAGGTGGCACGCGCATAAATCATCCTGTATAATGAGAACACTTCGTCTTCGGTTCGCCCTCTCGGTCGCGAACGCATCCCTTACGGGCCGGCTATTATATCATTCTTTACCCCCGCCCGTGGATTTCTGGTTACCGCGATTATATTAATATTCGTTTGCACGACTCACGGAATCTGACGCGAAATCGCGTACTCGATACACCCCCGTTCAAGGGGGTGAAACACTCCTCCACTAAGATCGTTCAAAAGGGTAGCTCTTCTTTTCTGCATTTTCAGCAAGCTTCACAAATGTTCTCCAAGACTTCAAAAGCTAATTTTTTTTACCATGGAGCAACTATATAATAAATAAAAATATTCGATGTGCTTGTTTTATAAGATTCTTAATGTAAGGGGTAAAACACCCCTCCACTACGATTGTTTAAAAGGGTTCTTCCTGTCTGCATTTTCAAGAAGCTTCACAAGCGTTCTCCATGAGTTTAGAAAGTAATTTTCTTCATCAAGAAACAACTAACAATATGATAAATAGAAATATTATATGTGTTCGTTGTTTTATAAGATTCCTAATGCAAGAGGTGAAACATCCCTCCACTACGATCGTTTAAAAGGGTAGTTCTTCTAGTCTACATTTTCAGGAAGCTTCACAAGCGTTCTCCATGACTCTAAAAAGTAATTTTCTTCATCAAGAAGCAACTAACAATATGATAAATAGAAATATTGTATGTGTTTGTTGTTTTATAAGATTCCTAATGCAAGAGGTGAAACATCCCTACACTACGATCGTTTAAAAGGGTAGTTCTTCCTGTCTGCATTTTCACGAAGCTTCACTACCATTCTCCATGATTTTAAAAAGTAATTTTCTTCATCAAGAAGCAACTAACAATATGATAAATAGAAATATTATGTGTGCTTGTTGTTTTGTAAGATTCTTAATGCAAGGGGCGAAAACCTCTCTACTTCGACCATTTAAAAAGGTAGTTTTTCTAGTCTGCATTTTCAAGAAGCTACACAAGTGTTCTCCACCACTTCAAAAGCTAATTTTCTTCCTCCTTTAGTATGGAGCAACTAACAATGTAACAAATAGAAATATTCAATTGGTTGTTGTTTTATAAGACTCCTAATGGAAGGAGTGAACAACTAACAATGTGATAAACAGTAATATTCAACAGAAATCTTTCATAAGATTCCTAATAAAAGTATTGTGCATCCGCGAGAAGTTGGCTAGTGAAAGGAATGCAGGTCTGATTGGTCCCCCACTCCAGTTTAGCGTTTGATGATTGGCCAAAAGTGGGGATAGGTGAAGCAAGCGAAGTACTCCCCTCTGTACTCACCCACTTGCCAACTTCTCGCGAATACACAGTAGTCTTATTCAGAATTTTACAAAGATCAAGACTGTTTCATTGTACACGATTTAGCACGAGTGATCCACATATGGATTCTGTTTTGTTTAAGTAGTGTCGATATTCTAGACTAATTAATATAGTATAGGACATTGAACAAATTTTGTTCACATTGTAATGAATAATTTTTGCGTGATACGACTCACATTCGAATTTTCAGAATCAAAGGTCATTGAACGTATTTCACACAAATGAAAATTTCGTAAGATTTACCAAGCAGATTTGGCGTAAATCAGACAATTGATTAAAAGACGAAGCAAAGACTGCATTCAGAAATTTTTGCTCCCACGGGAAAGCTTGCCCCCGAGTTCAACGGTGGATTGAACTTCGCGAGCCACGCCATAACTTCAAAATGTGACTTCCCACTTGTCACGGGCACCGAGGTAATAAGTAGCGGTATCGCAGCGATTCATGAATCAAATGCTAAGTGGTCATTTCCAACGCATAGACTGGTTGTCGCAGGTCCTCGTTCTTAAAGTAACAGTAAAACGGGTGGTCTTGCGCTTCTCGCATGCGACGCCGTGGTACATTAATAATGCGTTCGCGGTGCACGGACATCTGCTGCAATATTTACGAATAATACTACTATTTTAACTTCGTAACACTTGGTCGAAACTTTGGTGGCGAACCGGTGTAACCGTTTTTAGAAATAACCGACATGTAACTCGATTATCGTTAAAAATTTCAAGTCGCGCGTCGATTATGCAAGGGTGTACCCTAAAATGCGAGACCCACTTCAGAGATCGGTGACACAGAAATAATGGGACAAGATTATACAGATATATCTGCTTGACCCGATTTCCGAATTATAACCGTTTTTGTACTCCAATAATTCTTAATCGCTAAATGAGATTTTATTAAACTGTTTGCATACAATGCCTCGATGGCTTCTTGTTTTCCTTTCGAAGAGATTAACGGGTCAATCTTGTGTCAATTCCTGGAGCAATCAATTGCATAAATTATTGGAAGAAGTTCCATTGGATGCTGCGCGTCTCATGTGATTTATGCATGATGATGCACCGTCCCATTTTAGCCAAGTAGCCAGACGGCAGAGATGGGTAAAATTTTATTCGATTAATGGATGACACAGTAAGAACACAGTGTACTGCTTTATTAGCGACGTTTATTCGAGCAATCTGTTGTACGGATCAGTTCTGATTCGTTCCGCGTAAAACATAATTGCATTTTACGACGAGAGTTCTAATTTTTATTAAACGTATAAGGGACGAAATTTTGTGTGAAATTTATTACGTAAAAATTCTTGCCATCTTGCAGAATTGAGTTATTAATTTTGGAGCCCCTTAGCAACATTTATTGCCAGTAAATATTTAAAAAATTTAGGAACACTGTGCCACGATATCTGCAGGTTTGTATTCAATCAAAATTTGGCTATTCTGAACATTTTCCACAAAGGTGAGCAGTACTATAGAGTACAGAAACGGCCATATTGGAAATTCAAATTCATTGTCCCGATAAACAAATAAACAAATTATTTAAGTATAACAAAGGTAACTGTGTAATATATTTAAACTCTTAACTGGATGGGGATATAAATAAATCTAATCTAGACAGAGATTTTCCACAAATATTTAAAGGGATCCAATCAACGAATAAAAATTGGAAACGAAATAATTATATGTACCAGAATCGTGAACTTTTTCGAAACGAGGTCAAACAGGGGGCACGCGTTTATATGGACATTTTTTATCACTTTTGTGTCCTCGATCGACTGGTAAAGTCGAGTCTATACGTTGGGATACACCCTATATGTACAGCTGCAAAGTTGGCCGTGCGCGATAATGCAGCTGTGCCGATTTAATCAAATTACCTCGTCGCGGTATAATTAGCCGAATTTCTATCCTCGACTTATTGCGCAACCATTAGAATCGCGTCCCGAACTTGCTCCAGCTACGCGAGTTTCTGCGTGGGTGGCACGCGAACCCGTGGCAACGAAGAAAAGAGATCGCCTCGAATATCTACCATATATTAAACAATAAATATATTTGGAAATTGTAATTTATCTGCCTAAGTTAAGAAGACAAAGAAAATAATGAAAAATAGAAAAGTGATAATTGCAATTTTTGGAATTGTGCAAACTAGTCTTTTTTTTAAATTGCACAGTTTGCAGTAAAAATATTATTTAAAAAAAAAAACACTAACCCTCTCCTTTAAACTCATCCAGCCACCTCTTGTCTTGATCCTTTATGAACAGAACGGTCCATGTCCGCGTTTGTAAATACGTGGCAACCCTAATTAGCCGCAACCGCGTAGAACGAGTTCCGATAGACGGATGCATAAACTATAAATAGGAGTGCCACTGGTTATAATTTCATTCGAGCGGGCGAATGGATCGAGATCGAACAAGCAG